CATGGTGGGAAGAAGCTTTTTGCTGATGCCATCTGTTCCTGCCTCCCTACATCCATCCCAGGCCAGCAAGTTCAGCCCTGGAAGTCTCACTGCTCGCCCAGCTCTGGGCTCGATGTGTCCCTGCCATGGTGGGAAGAAGCTTTTTGCTGATGCCATCTGTTCCAGTGTCACCTCCCGGCTGTCACAGGGCTCCTCGTGAGTCACCGCGGCCGCGGGGGTTGTGTAACCGGAGTTCCCTGTTTGCACCGAATTTTCGGGGAATCAGAGCTCCCTGCGGTCACAGGGCTCCTCGTGAGTCATCGCGGCCGCGGGATTGTGTAACCGGAGTTCCCTGTTTGCACCGAATTTTCGGGGAATCAGAGCTCCCTGCTTGCGAGGATTTGCCGAAAGCAGGGGGGAGGATTTTGCAGGATCCTGCAGATCTCGAAGAGGCTTTCAGCCTCTTTAGCAGCATCAGCAGCACAGGGGTAAAGGTGCTGCTGATGGGTGTTCAGGGGGTGTAGGACACCCCCTGATGCCTTAAATTAATTATCTCTCATCCAGGAACACACAGCCCCCATCCTCCAGGGCAGCCTCTCTTGCTCAAGGAGGCAGCAAAGTTCATTTTCTGTCTGGACAGAAAAGAACCTGGTCAACAAACTTCCACCAGACAAGCCTAAATCCCTCAGAATTAGCCAACAACCCACCCAAGGCATGTTCCAGTGAGGTTTTTAAAGCCACGTGCTCCAGCAGTGACTCTGGCAGACTCTGAATGCTTGGGGGGGTGAGGATTGGAGCTCAGGACGTCCCAGCTCCCATGGAGAGGTGAGGATTACATCGGGGCCCAACCCTCCCAGCAAGGATTTCTCAGGCAGCGTTATGGCTTTACAAAATCCTGTTTTAGTTGCCCTGGGTGAGTATTTTACCTTGGCAGCTGATGCAGCAGTGTAATAACCATCATCATTGTCATCAAGGCCTCACAGATGCTCTGCTGCTGCCAGGGAGAGCGAGTCAGCTGCAAAATCGTGTCACAGTAATCTTAGAGTCATAGAAATACTTGGGTTGGAAGGAACTTTAAAGCTCATCTCATTCCAACTCCTGCCATGGGTAGGGACACCTTCCATTATTCCAGGCTACTCCAAGCCCTGGCCAACCTGGCCTTGGACACTGCCAGGGATGATGCTCAAAGAGGGATAAAAAGCCAGGAATAAAAGAACTTTAGAGGCAAATATTGTAATGCGGCTTCAGCAGTAAAATTATAGTGTTTAAAAGAGTCTCAAAGGGATGAATCAGGAAAAATCAGGGTGGATATTCCCCAAAGGGGATCTGGCAGCCCAGCTGGACAGGCTTTGGGTTCAGGGAGGAGCACAATTCACTACTACCCCAAGCAAAGCAGACCTATTTGGTTATTAAATAAACCTGCATTTCACACACTTGTTGCAAGCAATGATGGTTTTAAACCCTGAAGATGAAAAAAGCCACTCCTGCATCAATTAGGACCATTAAAAAATGGTCTTAATGGTAGGAGATGAATTTACATAGAAACTTGTTTTTTTTTCTTCTAAAACCTATAGGTGTTGGCCCTGCAGCAGCCTCCTTAAGAGCTATTTGCTGTTCAGTGCTGAAGCAGGCACACCATGATTCAATCAACACTGATTTAACAAGTGATAAGAGAGGTTTGCCCAAGGCCTCCTGACCCATTTCCTTATCTCGTTCCTGTAGTGTTGGATTTTGCTCCAAAGGCCAAAGCCTCAGCAAACACTATTCATTTTTTTCTGATATGCTAAAAAAATACAATGAGAAAAAAGGGAATTTCTTTCATGCCTGGTTTGAGCACACAAGGGATTTTTGAACTCTCTGAGAAGTCTCAAATGGGGAAACTTTCCTGGCTGCATTCAGCGTCATATATAAAATCAACTTATCATTCAACCACGGAATGGTTTGGGTTGGAATGACCTTAAAATTCATCCTATTCCACCCCCTGCCATAGGCAGGGACTCCTTCCACCATCCCAGGTTCCTCCAAGCCACATCCAACCTGGCCTTGGACACTTCCAGGGAAGAAGCAACAGCTTCTCTGGGCACCCTGTGCCAGGGTCTCACCACCCTCACAGGGAAAATTCCTTCCCAATATCCCATCATACCCATTGCCCCTTGTCCTGTCCCTCCATCCCTTGTCCCCAGTCCCTCTCCAGCTCTCCTAGAGCTCCTTTAGGCCCTGGAAGGGGCTCTGAGCTCTCCCTGGATCCTTCTCTTCTCCACCTGTACGCCCCCAGCTCTCCCAGGCTAGCTCCAGAGCAGAGGGGGTCCAGCCCTTGCAGCATTTTATCTCAAAAATAAAAAACTTATCTCAAAAATTATCACCTTATCTAAAAACTGACATGTTTTCAGTCCAAACCAACTGCAATAGGGGCAGCAACTTTGGCACTTCCCCAAAGAGTGCAGAAAGTCAGCAGTCTGTGCAGAGTTTTAGTTCATACTTTCGTTTCTTGAAAAAGACACCAAATATTTGCAGGTGGCTGCTCCCTCCTGAACAACCCACAGAGGACACCAGCAGAGCCTGAAGGATGGGATCCCTGGTGACACAGAGCAAAGCAAAACAAAAGGTGTTTTATGGGACTGCACAGGTTTAAAATTGCTCTCCTGTGACTTCTGGGAATAAGGAGGTGTGGGGAGTTCAGAGGGAACTGACCAAATTACTGGAATAAATCAGTGTTAAGTGATGACTGGAGGTACTGTGGCCTTTGGAGCCGGATTGTACAAAGGGCAGGATGAAATACAGGTTATTTCTCCTGTGTTTTATGCCAATAAAACCTCGCAGACAATATGGAAAGCTGAAATCAACCTTCACAAGGAGAGCAAAGAAATCCTGTGGAGTCAGAGGGAAGTTAGGCAAATTACAAGTGATTTTTTAAAAAAAAATATTTTAATTGCTAAAGCTCAAATAAAAACATAGTGAAGGAGTGGTTAAATATTACATGCAAAGGCATGCAGTGGTCCAAGGGCCATTGCACATAGAGCATTGAAGAATAAAAACATTTAAACACATCAAAAACATCTTCCATTTTGCTGCCTAAATACTGGGCTGTGCAGTCAAGTGTATTAAATGTTATTCTGATTTTTCTCATCGCTTCACTAGGAAATCTTCTCAAGCCAAAATAAATCTTTAAAATGTGAGTATGACAAAAAAAATGTTTTATATAAATGGAAACGGGGCGGGGGGGGGGGGG